ACACAAAGGAGGAGGAGATGTTCGCCAGCTGATAATGAACGCTTGAGAGAAGACATTTTTCTCCACACTAAGAGAAAGCAGAGGAATAGTTTTCCTTTAAAAGGCACAATTCTGTCAGAGTTTAGAATAGGGTTAAGCTAGGTTTTGGGTTGTCACCAGAACAGGAATAGATGGGATGTCTTCCACTGAGGACACTAGTTCTGGTGACCCTGGATTTCTCTTACTTTGGAGGGATTACCTCTCAATTCCTATTGCAGCCATGGGACAGGAAGTGAAGGGAAATGTCCTATCTAGAGGCAGAGTCAGCTGTGCCCGCCCCTTCCCTTGTTCGTTCGTTCCTCCACTCAGCGCTGGAGGATTGAAGAGGAGAGGGGGAATCCCTGCGGGGAGCAGTGACCGACAGTGACTGAAGCGGTGTGGTGACTGAAGTGAGCGGATCGGTGCATGTTTCTGCTCACTTCCTGATTGATAGAGCGGACCTGTGAAAGCTTCTTTGTCACAGGTCGGTTCTAACTATGAGGATGAGTGGAAATCACTCACCTCATAGTTCTCCTTTAAATAACTTGCCCTTGCAGTGGGGCTACCACCTCACTGTAATGGGTTAAGTGCTCGTTTTGTCTAACTTGGCTCAAATAAAGCTGCGTTAGTTACCTGATCCTCGGTACAACGGTGGTCCTGCTCACCTCTCTCTTCCCCTCCGCTCCAGCAGTGGAAGGGCCCTTGGCGTCATCACACCTAATGCAAATCAGTGGACCTGCATCCAATGTGATGACGACAGCAGTCCTTAGACCACTGGAGCACCGAGAAGAAGAGGTTGAGGGGACTGGTTTAGCAGCCCGGCGGGATCAAGGATCAGATGCGTATATCTGCTTTATTTGAGCCCCCTAGACAAAACACGCACTTAACCCTTGCAGTGCAGGGGTTGCCACACTGCAAGGGTAAGTTTTTTAACTTCCCGGAGTTCTTTAAAGACATTGAGGGGAATTTAGTAATACTGGAGCAGACATAATGCACATAAAGCAGACAGCATGGTGCCTTCAACAGCTTCTATGCTGGTGATCATGTAACATGGGGTGAGACCCTATGAACAAATGTTATTAGTCATGCATGCTCTGACAGCCTGCCAACACAGAAGATGGACAATTTACATATTCATTTAGGACCTGGAAAGCTTTGTAGGCAAACCTGTCCCAACATGCATCGCCAACCACACAAAGAAAGAGAGCAGCGTGTGCAGCAATAATTTAATCCAATACAAAAGCTGTTTGATTGTGTTCTTCAGTCCTGCAGATTGAACAAACTTTACATTTCCATTAACAGGGGTCGTGCAGTAGCAGAGAGGTCTTCGGATCCTCGGTGGCCTTGCCCCATACACTTGTTTTCTCTACAGACAAACAGGCTCCCATCTCACACACGTCCCATTGTTCAACACAACAGTTCATTATGATCTCAAGTGATGTCATGGCATTCTGTGCCATATTCACAAGAGCTCGGAATGAGGCTCCGGGCCCACACTGAGAATGTGGACGACTTGTCGCCTTTTCTAAAAAGGATTTCATTCCATTACAAAAGAGGAAAGTATGACTCACTCTTTCTTTTCTTCTTACATCAATACTATTAGTCAGTAAATTGCGCATACAAGATGCGGGAATTAAAACTTCATCCCCTGAAGATGACAGTAACCTTCGCTGTGGACAACACCCAAAAGACTGATAACTAATTCAAGCCTTGTTCCATCCAGCCGCACTTTACTCTGGTAACTGATTAAAGGCTATGTAAACCCTGAGGGCCGGTTCACACCACAAACAGTGCGTTCCAGAGCATTCGGCCTCTGAAACACACTGTATCGCAACCCTGCCGGCTCCCTGTGTTCAAGGGCAGGAGGGGGCGTGGCGGTGCATTGAAGTCAATGGCACCACAGCCACGCCCGCAGTGTGATCGACTGCACCAGTGCCTGCGTTCTGGTCCAGTACGATCTGCAAAAATAGTGCTTGCAGCAATTTTGCAGAACACAGGCACTGCTTGTGGTGTCAACCTGCCCTAAAAGTAAACTTATTTGCTCCCTTTTGGTCTGTGATACGTCATTCTCAACCAATGTGCCCCCAGAGGTTATCAGGGGTGCCGCGGCACAATCAAAACAAAAATTCACAAAATGTATTATAGCTCGCACTAGAGAGACACTAGCAAGGCACACCACTGAGCCTTAGCAATGGATAACTCACCTGTTGCTATAGACGCTGTTGGCAGCTACAGTTTAAGACAATGTCTATGGCGACCGATTACATCATTGGTTGCCAAGACGCAGTCGGGTGCCTTGCAGGTGCCTATCTAGCGCAGGTAAAACCCAGGACTTCAGAGTCTGCAGGCAGTCACCAAGACAACCTGCAGTACGCCACTACGGACTGACTTCCAGGTCAGCAGCGCTGACTCTTACCTGTAACCCTCTTCATCTTCATTTCTGGAACTTTGCTCATCACCAGGGGTGCTGTGAGTTTGCAGTCGTTCTTTGGGGAGGGGGTATTGGGTGGTGGAGGGTTCT